ATATATATATATATATATATATATATATATATACACACACACCTAATCCTTATCCATTTCATTATATTAAACAACATACAGTGATGACAGTTTTAAAGGAAAAGGATCACTTAACTTGCAAGATAATTACAAATAATGCATGCTGGTAAGCGACTCATAAAACAAAACACGAACGTAAAACAGGAAGCATTTATTAGACGTTTTGGAATCATCATAATTCCATCATCAGTAATATAGGGGTTACAAAACAAACAAACAATATTTATAATTAAAACAGAAATATATATATATATACATAAGAAATAAACAAATTTGAATATACTAATATATAACATAAGAAAATGAAAAATGAGTCACAAGAGAAATTAGTTAAAATAGGTTTAAATCCAGTGAAGACTGTGTGTTATTTAGGGATGGGAGAAGAGTTTTTATGTATAATGTTTCTTTTTATAAGTTCAATATCATGTTTGGCTGTTGAAAGAATTTTAAAGTTTGAGAGAGAAATCGGATGTCCTGTTTCTGCATTGTGTTGATAGATGGCGGAGTTGGGAGGGTTTGTAACCTTTCTTCCAGCTACACAAAAACTACATTTATTTCCTTATATCTTCTATATTACAATTTTTTGTATGAATTAAAAGAATGACTTTTGCAATTACTATAAGCAACTGTGGTGTTTACAAAAGAAAAACAGGTTTGGCCACCTTATAGTATCCTCCACATAAATTTTGAAAGGCTTGGTTCAACAAAATCTCCCTTCCATGAGGTCTTGTTTTTCTCTTCTTTTTGTTCTTTTTAGCATTTCTATTTTTTTGTTGCTGTTGTTCTGTACAAAATAAGAGAACAAATTACAAATAATTATAGTTATTAAAGTAGTTCAAATGGAAGTTTCTATCATTCAATATTATAAACTTTATCAAATAAGGTGGCTCAGTAAAAAAATTATTTTGGAACAGAAGTAAAAAAATTACCGCAACGAGCTTCTTGTTCCAAGAGAAAGTTGTCAGCCCGTGATAAAGCTGAAACCATCCACCCATACAGAAATTCATACAGGTACCTATCACACACACAAAAAAAACATGTTATATCATGTAACTGTTCAGTATAACACACATATCAAATTATGTAAACACAGAAATTATACCATCTAATTGTTGAGTGTAACACATATATCATTTGTGTACAAACAGATACTATACCATGTAACTGTTCAGTGTAATACATATATCACAAATTATGTACAAACAGATACTATACCATCTAACTGTTCAGTGTAATACATATATCACCAATTATGTACAAACAGATACTATACCATGTAACTGTTCAGTGTAACACATCACAAATAATGTACAAACAGATACTATACCATCTAACTGTTCAGTGTAATACATATATCACAAATTATGTACAAACAGATACTATACCATCTAACTGTTCAGTGTAATACATATATCACCAATTATGTACAAACAGATACTATACCATGTAACTGTTCAGTGTAACACATCACAAATAATGTACAAACAGATACTATACCATCTAACTGTTCAGAGTAATACATATATCACCAATTATGTACAAACAGATACTATACCATCTAACTGTTCAGTGTAATACATATATCACCAATTATGTACAAACAGATACTGTATCATCTAACTGTTCAGTGTAATACATATATCACAAATTATGTACAAACAGATACTGTATCATCTAACTGTTCAGAGTAATACATATATCACCAATTATGTACAAACAGATACTATACCATCTAACTGTTCAGTGTAATACATATATATATCACAAGTTATGTACAAACAGATACTGTATCATCTAACTGTTCAGCATAATACATATATAACAAACTATGTACAAACAGATACTATACCATGTAACTGTTCAGTGTAATACATATATATCACAAATTATGTACAAACAGATACTATACCATCTAACTGTTCAGTGTAATACATATATCACCAATTATGTACAAACAGATACTGTATCAACTAACTGTTCAGTGTAATACATATATCACAAATTATGTACAAACAGATACTGTATCATCTAACTGTTCAGAGTAATACATATATCACAAACTATGTGCAAACAGATACTATACCATCTAACTGTTCAGTGTAATACATATATCACAAGCTATGTACAAACAGATACTGTATCATCTAACTGTTCAGAGTAATACATATATCACAAACTATGTGCAAACAGATACTATACCATCTAACTGTTCAGTGTAATACATATATCACAAGCTATGTACAAACAGATACTGTATCATCTAACTGTTCAGTGTAATACATATAACAGTGTAACAACAGATGTTATACCATGAAACATATGAGAAGAAGTTATGAAATACCTGCCATGTGGAAGACCGATGATATGTTGCAAATTACCTATTGTAAGTTAAAGATTATGACATAAAACTAAGAAGAAATTGTGAATTAACTACATGTGGGAGGGAGAAGATGCAGTATGAAATACAAGATGCTAAAGAATATACAAAATAAGTGTCACAAACACGAGATGAAAAAGTTACATAATGCTACAAAGATAATTTATATCAAGGTACCAGTGACACATTAGAAGGCTGACACAGAACTTTACAATAGCTATAATGAGATTGAAAAAAAAGTGTACATTTTCATTACATCAAACAATAGTCATTCAGTATGCTAAAATGTGTCATCACGCAGGGAAATAAGATTTTTTTTCTACTCTGAAGGGTAATTCAACTTAACTTACGATCTAGAAGCCTGATCTACACGTACATCCAACAACTTACCAGAATATGTATGTGTATTCATGGGTGGAGTAAAGTTCCAATTCAAAGCCAGAGAGGACATACTGGATCATCACTCGCAACGTGTGATACAGTATCCAGTGTCCGAAGCAAGCCAGATGAGGACAAGGATTTTCAGACTTCATTGACAGATTGTGGAGAAAAGCATCCACTTTGTCAGCCTTTCAACAAACCAAAATACAAAAATGTACACGAAGGTAAAGTTAGTTATAATATACACCTTTTATTGAATGACATACCAGCCAAGAACCCATTTTAAAGTGGAAAGTTTCTCTTACCCCAATGAACGTAATTTTTCCACAGAACAAGGGGGTCTTAGATTAATACCATGCTTTTATAAAATCATGTTGGATACACTCTTACTATTGAAACTGCAACACAAATAAGCAATATTATAAACATGTTAAATTAGAGTCAAATACTTAAGATAATACTACCGAATACACCACCTTTAACTGATTATACCTTTAAACACAAGTAATGTACATTTCTGATACCAATTTTATTTATTTTTTCATATATACTCACCTCATCCTGTAGGCCAGCAAGTTCTTCTAATAAATGGGCTAGTTTGTCTCGCTGCCGAGCCCTGTTGTGACCACTGGTCAACAAAAGGCAGGAAAATGGGCGAACACAGTGACTAAGGAAAGCTTCTACATATTCCTTGGCCTGGAGGTTATTTAATAAAGTGGACCTATGGTTGACATTAACAACATTAAACAAGAATTGTTCAGTTGACACCATTCTCACAAATGTACATGCTTAGGTTACTTAATATTAGTAATCAGCATTAATTCTAATTATCTAACTGGATATACCAATGAACTAACTTACTTGAGTTGCAGAGCTGGGGGTTTGATAAAACAACGGACAGCATCTCGTAACACATCTACCATAGGAGTGGTTCCAAATACCTTGTTTGGTTGTGACAGATACAGAAGCTAAAGTTGTAATACATGTGCAAACATTACTTAAACCAAGCATACATCATTATATGCATTCATTACAAGAATATCCTCAAATAACTTTTATTATAGATTCAAGTAACTGATTGGAAAAAAATAAACTAATCTAATTAAGACAGGTATTTTCCATTTAATTATTTTATAACAAGTCCGGTCTCTAAAAAATATTGAAGTAGATGTTCAAACAGATCGATGAGTGAAATATATATTGAACATTTGCAATAAAATATCACAAAAATTTCAATATTAAGATAAATAGATCTTCAAAACAAGAAATATGAGTGGATTTAGTAAAAAATTTAGTGTTTGAAATGAGTAATCATCAATACAGAAAGTAATATACAAATAAAATTAAATTAAAAATAACTGATTTTACAACACCTACTAAAATGTCACTTATACAGTAGCAAGAATGTAAAATCCATTTATATGCCTTACAGACATATTAAGGTTAAAAAAGTCACAAAAACAGTAAAAAAAATCCATTCTTGATGCTGTTATTTCTTGAGACTCTTTTTTTGTTTTTGATTTTTATTTATTAATCTTTTGATTATTAATCTTATTTGTTTAGACAAGTACACGGTTAGCTAACACTAGTAATTCTTGAAGACAAAATAAACACATTGGGTTATGTCTGACATCATTAGTCTCCTAGAAATTGAAAAACAAACAAACTTGTTTTCACATTAAAGTCTTGTATATTAGTTGAAAAACAACAAACCTACACTCTCAAGGGTAAAGTTCTTACCTACTTAAGTAGCACAAAGTTAAAAAAAAAAGGTCAAATATTATATTTGCTTAGCAACATGTACCTATTTACAATTTTAGCATAGGATGTTGTAGTTGTAACAAAGCAATTTCCCAACAAAAATTAGGTATGACATAAAGAATGATTGTATAGATATGAATTTTTATTGTTATTGCAAGTCCACAAAGAACTCAAATCTGTGAGGTTAGGTTGTATTGCACCACAAGAAAGAAAAAACTGATAACTCAGAATTAAAATCTTTTTGACATTTGGAGATTTAGAAAAAAAAAAAATTAATGATGAAACAAATTTAATATGTACTTAATTTAACCCAGTTATGATTCCTGAAGGTAAAACTTTAATCATTTATCATTAAAACAAACATCAACAGATAATTAACCCCAAAAATATGACATAAATACAACAGAACTCAGAAAGATTATCTGAGTTTTCTCTGAACAAATGAAACAGAAACTCACACAATATCTTGCAGATTAAAAAAATAAGTTATAATGTAAAGTATAAAATTACTCCTGTTTGGATTAAATTATTAATATTTTGTCATAGATAATGTACAGTACAGGCAAGAAAATATTACACATATAAATATTATTTGATAACGAGGAACCCACTTTTTAAAAAATAAAAGTTTTGAGATGGCTTAACTGGTTAATGAAAAACTTTATTATAAATGTACAATGTTTCGACAAGATTTTGTCGCCCGAGGATGACAAAATATTGTTGGAAAGTTGTATATTCATAATAAAGTTCTTTTATTACCCAGTCAAGTCACCTCAAAACTTTTACTATATAAATACTATAATTATTCTTCAACATGCATGTAAATCAGCCTTTTCTACAGTTTCTTCCTGCCTGTACTGTACGTGCATGTAATAGTTACTTGAATCTCAAAGATATTTTCATGTAAAATAAACTTACCTGTAAAACTGATCTGGAT